TTGGAGAGGGACTATCAGAGGAGAATCAAGGCATCCTGAGCAAAACCTCCAAACTAGCCCTTGCAGAAAATAGCCACATGAGTAACCTCATGAGACAGACCAGAAGAAGGGCCCAACTAATGTTACCTCAGAATCATGAGAAATGATACTTTTTTGTTGTTGATTTTAAATACTAAGTTTTAGAGTGGCTTGTTATACAGTAGTAGCAAATAGTATATTCTTCTGTTCACTTCTGTATGTTTGAAGTTTTCCACAACAAAAGGGTACATATATGAACATGTGTGTACATATGTGTGTATACATAATACATATATATACATATGAATCAATAATGGAAATTGCACTCCATGAATTGTAGCCAGAACAGTTTTGCTTCTGTTTGCCGCAGAGTCTTTCCAGTAAATCTCTGCTTGTCTTACATTTTTTGTCTCTCTCCATCTCTTTCTGGGTGTTGACGCCTACCTTGCCCAACCTCTCTTCCCTGCCTTCCACTTGGGTCCTCCCATTGGCTTTTTGGCTGATCCTCCAACAGGCCACGCTATTTCTACCTCAGGGCCTTGGCATTTTCTGTTCCCTGAACCTCTTCTTGTGTCATTCCCTTTCTTTAGTTCTCTGCTCAAATATACTCTCTTTCTTGGTAATCCCTTCCAGAATGGTCTCTTTCATCCCCTTATACATCCTCTGTCCCATTTCATTGTCTTATCTTCATTATAGAAATTATAACCATGTAAAGTGACTCTATTCTTTCCTTCCTTCTTTCTTTCCTTCCTTCCTTCCTTCCTTCCAATTGAAGTCACGGGTGCTTTACTACTGAGTCACATTCCCAGCCTTTTAAAAAAAATTTCATTTTCTTCAGGGTCTCACTAAATTGCTTAGGGCCTCGCTAAGTTGTCGAGGCTGGCTTTGAACTCCCAATCCTCCTGCCTTAGCCTCTGGAGTTGCTGGGATTATAGGCATGCACCACCATGCCTGTCAACCTTATTTTCTTAATTGTCTAGTTGTTTAAGGACAGAGATTGCTATTCCAGCGTATAGAACAGTGCCTGGCATGTAAGGATGCTCAAGGAATATTTGTTGAAGTAATACTCTCTTTTGATGATTCTGAATGACTCCTCTTTGACTCCAGGTGGGAAGGATGCGTCTCTCTATTTTCCACCTTTTGTGCCCCATTAGTCAAGTTGCTGTCTGTGGTTCTGAGACCCAACACCATGGATCTGTCCTTGGTGCTGACCCAGGCTTCCAGTTTCCTTAAACTAGGGAGGGTAGGGGGGATCTTGGGAAGGGGCAGTGTCACCTGTAAGACCCAGGCATTGAATCCTTTGCATAACTGAGGAAAGGCAGACATCCTGAGTGCCCAAGGGAGGGAGCAAACGGGTCACTGAGAGTTGAGTGGGGATTTGAACTCTCTTTCATCTATTCATACATATGTATGCACTTACACGGTGGTTCCTTAGTATCTGCAGAGGATTGATTCCAGATCCCACTCTGCCTCCTGCCCAGGATACTGAAATCAGGGATGTTCAAGTTCCTTAAAATGATGCAGTATTTGCATATAACCTATGCATATTCTCTTGTACACTTCAAATCATCTCTAGGTTATTTATGATGCCTAATCCAGTGCAAATGATTTATATACGATCCGCAGTTGATCGAATCCACAGATGAAGAATCTGTGGATACACAGGGTTCACTATATATGAGAGCTTCAACCATAGAGAAATGAAGAGTACAATAAACTTCCAGGAATACATTTTAAAATACCTTCTATGCTTCCAGCCGCTTCCTCACTTTCTATGTTATTTAAATGCAAATCTCAGAAATGATATCATTTAATTATATGTTGTATTTTAAATTATTTGCTTTCTGTTGAGATATGACATACCTAGTAAAATCCACAAGTCTTAAATGTATAAACTGGTTCAGTTCTACTTACATGTAGATTCGTGTGGCCCCTCCTCTAGGTGTCTCCATCTTCTCAAAGGGTCCTTTTACACCCTCTTCCAGAGATAGCAAGCATTTTGAACCTCTGTCACTAGAGTTTTAAAAGTCACAATATGGAAATCCAGAGAACTGGGTTCTAGCCTTGGCTTTGCTATTGACACTATTATTTTTAATGAATATGTCGTATGTGCAGAAAGTACATAAAATAAGATGGGCATGGTAGCACACACCTGTAATCCCAGCTGCTCAGAAGGTTGAGGTAGAAGGATTGCAACTTAGCATGTTCAAAATGCAAAATAAAAAGGGCTGGGGCTGTAGCTCAGTGGTAGAGCACTCCTGGGTTCAGGCCCCTGTACCTCCCCCACCCCCAAATAGAAACAAGTTTCTAAAGGCCTCAGACATGGGTGAGGTCAGGAGGACCTGAAATGACAGGCTCTGTCGAATGTTCCAAGAGAATGGCATCAGCACCTGCTTGGCTTCTGGTGGGGGCCAGAGGCTGCTCCAATTCATGGCAGAAAACAGAAAGGCAAGCCAGTTCATGCCAAGGACACAAGGCACACGGGATGGCCTTGTCCTGGGATAACCCACTCTCACCAGAAGGCCTCAGGTTCTCCTTAGGACCTAATCGCCTCTCAAAGGCCCCAAACACTGCACTGGGAATTGGCATTCAGCACGAGATTTGGAGGGGACAGACCTTCTAGGAATGAACTCTTGGGTCATTTTACTAAGCAAAGACCACCAGCCAGCTGAGGGCAAAGGAAACATGGGAAGAATAATAGAAGAAGGAAATTAAACACATCAGTGTTGACCTTGTGACCAGTTATGGGAATGCAAGCTGTAGCAGCTACATTTCTTTTCCTTGGCTTCCCCCTTCCTTCCTTTTTAAAAAATATTTTCATGTATATGTTCATCTACTAATTTATTTTAGTGTTGTTTCTTCTTTCCCTTTGTTGTTTTATGTAAGGATTGCAGGTGGTCGTGGACCTGGTGGTGTTTTTTGTTTGTTTATTTTTATTTTTTACTACTGAGCTACCTCCCAGTCCTGTTTTGTTACTATGTTTTTAAAAAATATTTTCAGTTGTAGGGGCTGGAGTTGTAGCTCGGCGGTACAGTGCTTGCCTGGCATGGGTGAGGCACTGGGTTCGATTCTCAGCACCACATATAAATGAATAAAGGTCTATCAACAACTAAAAAGAATTTAAAAAATATTTTCAGTTGTAGATGGACACAATACTTAAATTAATTAACTAACTTATTGATTAATGTGGTGCTGAGAATCAAACCTAGTGCTTCACACATGCTACAACCCCAGCCCATATTATTATGTTTTTAAATTTTGAGACAGGGTGTCGCTGAGGATGACCTTGAACTTGTGATCCTCCTGCCTCAGCCTCCTGAGTGGCTAGAAGTATAAGCAGGCACCACTATACCTAGTTGGTCCTTGTGTCTAGACATCAAAATTTTGTCAATAGAATCCGTGCTTTTTCTCTGCTGTCTCCTTTGCTCCATCAAAACCAAATATTTCCTGCACATTATGAGACAACAGTAATTATTTGCTGAAAGAGTATTACAAAAATGGCTATAGATGACCACAGATTAAGATGACAAGACATGTATGTGAATGGGGTAGACAAAAATAAAAAATGTTATGCAAGTTTAACTTCAATAAGAAGATAGATAATAAAATATTAAACATTCCCTGCTAATTCAAAACCAATCAACAAATACAGACCATATCTTCTGGATCTTTTAGTCAATTCCTTTCTTTCTTTTCTTTTTTTTTGGTATTGGGGATTGGACCTGGGGTGCTTTACCATGGCATTACACCCCAGCTGTTTTTAATTTTTATTTTGAGAAAGGGTCTCATGAAGTTTCCCAGGCTGACCTTAAACCTGCAATCCTCAAGCCAGGCATGGTGGCGTACGCCTGTAATCCCAGTGGCTCAGAAAGCCAAGGTAGGAAGATCATGAGTTCAAACCTAGCCTCAGCAATTTAACAAGGACCTACTCAGTGAGACCCTGTCTCAAAACATGAAAAGAGGCTGGGGATGTGGCTCAGTGGTTAAGCACCCCTGAGTTGCTTCACCACTGAGCCACACCCCCATCCCCTTTTTATATTTTATTTTGAGGCAGGGTCTTGCTGAGTTACTTAGGGCCTTGTTAAATTGCTGAGGCTGGCTTTAAACTTGCCATTCTCCTATGTCAGTCTCCCGAGTAGCTGGGATTACAGGCCTGCAGCACCATGATCTGCCAATTCTTTTCTTTAATGTGTTTCCTAAAATTTAAGAGTTCATGTGAGAAGATGACTGACTATTGGAAGTCTTTACCCCTTTGCTCCTTTAGTTGTAATTCAATACATAATTTTTAAGAAAGGCTTTTTGTTTTTCTCTTTGCCTCTTTCTTCATTTGCCTTTTCTGCACCAAAAAAGCTTTCTATCTATCTATCTATCTATCTTTTTGGTGATGCTGGGGATTGAATCCAGGGCCACACACATATTAGGCAAGCACTCTACCACTGAGCCATGTCCCCAGTCCCCCAAGAAAACTTTTTAAATCTCTTAAACCTTTTATGGAAAATAATGTACATATAGAAAGAGCTCAAATCTTAAGCAAACAGCTCAATAAATTCTCAGATCAAGTAATACAATGACTGAGTCCCCAGGAACTTCTGTATTCCCTCTTCTAGTCACTAATCCCCGTGGATAATCACTGTTCAGATTTCTAATTTCATTTGTTAGTTTTGCAAACTCTGACAACAAAGTTTTTAAAAAATTAATTAATTTTATTATTATTTTTTGGTACCAGGGATTGAACCCAGGGCTGCTTAACTACTGAGCCACATCCCCAGCCCTTTTTGTTTTATTTATTTATTTTTAAAATTTTAAGTCAGGGTCTCACTAAGTTGCTTAGGGCCTTGCTAAGTTGCTGAGGCTGGCTTTGAACTTGCAATCCTCCTGCCTCATCTTCCTGATCTGCTGGGATTACAGGCTTGCACCACCATGCCCAGCCATTTAATTTAATTTTTCAATACTGGGGATTGAACCCAGGGATACTTTAGCTCTGAGCTACATCCCTGACCCTCTTAAATTTTTATTTGAGACAAGATTTTGCTAAATTGATGAGGCTGATCAAGAACTTGTGATCTTCCTGCTTCAGCCTCCAGAGTAAGCTGGGATTTCAGGTACTCCCATGAGCCACTGTGTGGAGCTGCTGATGATATTAACAGAGACAGCATCATGGATCCTTCCTAGCACTGTGACTGGGTTCTAGAGGAAGCGCCTGGGAAACTGTCACAGGTTCCTGTAGTAATGGCTGTTGTCAGAATTGCTCCTCGGTGGGGCAGGGTGTGACTGTCTCTTGGGGTGCTGGTGACGGGGTCCAGTTTCTTCCAGGCTGGCTAACCAGCCCTGGGCAGGGTGGTGGTAGGCAAGCAGGGGGAGAGGGAGGTGGATGGTCATGGCCAGAGGGACAGGGGTGCTGCTCTTGTGTTGACATCATTTTCCAGCCGGGGCTGAAGCAGTGAGGGGAAGGAGGTGTGTGTACCCTGCCCAACATCCCCGGGGCGGAGGAACTATATGGAGAGCCAAAGGGGTCCTCCCAGAGAACTGACCAGAAGAGGGGCTAGGAGGGCCAGGGTCATGATGTGGGGCACCCGGGGAGGAGCAGCAGCTGTAGGGGTGTTGAAGGCCTGGGTCACGGAGTCCCTGTTGCAGAGATGCCCTTCACAGCAGGAGCCCTGGAGGTCAATGGCTGTCCAGGGGCTGGTGGTGCCCATGGTGGTGCAGGAGGGCCGGTGGCAGGTTCTGATGTACACAGGGACTGAGAAATTGCCTGGGGTGGGCAGTGGGGAGGGATCAGAACCAGAGAGGCAGTTGCACCTGAGCCTCCACCCTAGAGGCCATGGCCAGTGCCACGCCTCCTCCCTCAGACTGGGGCTGTCTCCCTGTCAGGCCTGTCTTGTGCCTCTGCCCTGGGACCCGCCTGGCCTCCACATCCCTGGCCCAGGTCCATGCCCCCTTCCAGCCCCTCACCGGTGGACATTCGGCCATTGCCCTGGAAACAGACGCTCTGGTCCTGGTGACACTGGACCCGTCGGGCCTTGTCAGGAGAGCAATCCTCGGGGTGGACGCCCACGCAGGCGTAGCACTCGGTGCCGCTGAGCCTCGGTGGGTCTGGTGCTAACAAGAGAAAGTAGACGCGCATCCAGGCAGTCGTTCCCAGGTACCGTACCGCGGCTGCGCACTGCACCGGGGTGCCCGCCGAGCCCACCCGAGAGGCAGGCGAAGGGGCGCGGCCGCCGCGGGTGCTCAGCGGAGGCCACGCCCCACCCGGCCTCTGACCGCCCCGCCCCGCCCTGCTTTCCACCTTGACTCAGGTTGGGGATGACGTCATGGGTCACGAGGTGGTTGTTGCAAAAGTCTCCCACGCAGCCTCGCACCACCGAGAAGTCCGGCGGCAGCGCGTCCTGGTTGGACTGCATGGAGCCGGCCGTGGGTCCCGTCCAGCAGCCCTTCTTTACCAGGGTGACCGGTGCACGATACCCTGGGGACGCGAGGAGGAGGGGCCTTGAGTTCAACTCTCCTCCTTCTCCTCTCCCCCACCTCCGCCAGGCTCTTCTCCCCTGCTCCTCCCTCCCTCCTTCCCCTCTTCCCCACCTAATGGTTCCCTCTCCTCTCCCTCCTTCACCTCCTTTTCCTACCTTCTCCATTGCCTTCTCCCTCCCCATCTCTCTCTTGAGCCCCACTCTTTTCTCTCTCCCCTCCTCTCTCCTCTGTCCCTATCCTTGGCTGCCTCGCTAGCAATTTCCCCTCCTTCCCTCCCTCCTCACTCCTTCCCTCCCCTCTCTCTCTAATTTCTCATTCCCGTTCCTCTCCCCTCTTCCTTCCTTCTTCTGCACGCCCTTCTCCTTTTCTAGCCTCTGTGAGGCCCTCACCAGTGTCCAGGGACAGGACAACCTCAGAGCATCCGTGGGGACAGGAGATACTGGGGAACTTCATGTCACTGAGGTCAAAGGGCCCCGTGTAGGTGTGCTCAAAGCTGTAGCACTGCAGGGCTCCGGAACCTAGGAGGGGCGTAGGGGCGGGATCAGCAGGGCCAGGGCAGGAGCCTTTCCTAGGGACTCAGGGACCACACAGGGCCAGGCCCCTCCGCCCAGAAGGAAGCTGGGCCTTGATGCCCTGAGAGAACAGGGTCTGTTATTGCAGCCAGTCATGCAGCAGAGCAATGGCCTCTCTGCAGTTTTTCCTCCAGTTTTTCCCTCCAAGTTGTTCCAGGTCTCCACCCTTATCCAGGAAGCTCTCTAAGACTTAGATAAGGGAGGAGGAAGTGATTCATTGCCTCTGTCCATCCCTCCCCACACTAAGCACATTAAATACAGTAGCAATAAAAGACTTCCGACGGGAAACAGGTGCCCCAGTTGAAGTCCAGTGAGGTGCAGTTTGGTGTGATAATCTCACACACAGCCAGCCCAGTAACACACGCACAGAACACTAAACACTGAGGTAAGGCAAACTGAACTTGACACAGGTCCATGCACATCTCATAAACACAGATGGAATAGCCTGGACGAACCCATGCAGGGTTCTACCATCTCACACAAAACCAGTGTTCACCTGGACGCCCATTACAAACACTCCAGCCCAAGGCCCAGAACCTCAGGCTTGGGAGTGTGATTTTGTATACATTATTTTGAGGGATTCAGAAGCGCAGGAAATCATACCAAGAGACAGAGAACTACAGACCCAAGAATCACATATATGCAAATAAAACAAGAGACCACAATTAGGCAAAGTTAGAGATTATTGAAAATGAGACCATAAATATATACAGTTTAAAATCATTTAGGGATCTAAGATATATAGACATGCAACAGATGCACACAGAAAAAAATACACACACGTGTGTGTGTGTGTGTGTATATGGAGAAAGACAGACCCACAAATCAGAGATGCACAGAGACACAGTTACACCTAATTATACGCATCTCTCTTATACAAAGAAAATGAAGTTCAGAGATAAACAGAGCCTCAAAAGCATTTTTAAAAATACGCAGACATCAAAATCTGGCACAGAGAAACACACACAAGCACAGAGACCCCAAGGACACACTGACAACACACAGAGCCCACACTCTCTCCAGGGATGCCCAGATACACGTGTGAAAGGAAGAGCCTCCTCCTGCCTCTCTGACTTTCTCTTTGTAGCCATTGCCATTCTGAAATGACATGTCCCCGTCCTAGACCAGTTAGGGGAAGAGGAAACCTGAAGATGAGGCCAAGGTCCCTGAGAGTTTGGAAAAGGGCCCTGGTGACTCCCCAGAAATACCCTTGAATGTGGGGCTGGGCAGGGAGGGGGAAGGCTGGAGTAATGGAGAAGAGAGTTACTGGAGAAAATGACTGAGAAGGGGAAGAAGAGAGGGGAAGAGAGAGAAATGAAGTGAACATAGCCTCCAGCCTCCTCCCTGTCTTAGACCCAGGAGTCCAGCCCCAGCCCTCCTCCCTCAGACCCAGGGGTCCAGGCCCAGCCTCCTCCCTCAGACCCAGGGTCCAGGCCCAGCCTCCTCCCTCAGACCCAGTGTCTAGCCCCAGCCTCCTCCCTCAGACCCAGGAGTCCAGCCCCAGCCTCCTCCCTCAGACCTAAGAGTCGAGGCCCAGCCTCCTCCCTCAGACCCAGGGTCCAGGCCCTAATCCCCCTTCCTCAGACCCAAGGGTCTGGGCTGCAGCCCTCCTCCCTCTGAAGCAGCAGTACAGGCCCCCAAACCCTTCTTATATTGGGCTCCGAGGTTGAAGTACCTGTCCGACAGAGCACAGTCCCAAAGAGGCAGAGCAGAAAGGCCCTGGGGACCCCCATTGCCAGAGTGTGGATCTGCGGCCGAGACACCCAGGACAACTCCTGCTGCTTGGTTTGCTGTCTGGCTGGTTCTTCTTAATGAGCCCAGGCATCCTGGCTGCCCAGCCTGGCCAGGATTCCTCCACCCCACCCTCCCTTATGTGGGCTGATCTCCTAGGTAATCATGACCTGGCCAGGATGAGTCCTGGGTACTAAAGGAAGAAGGGATTCCTGGATTCCTATCCCAAGGAAGGAGCTAGGGGCCTGCAAAACTTAATTTGTGGGGCACAGTGGTGGGGTTTGTGGTCTCTTCCTCCCCTCCTCCCCATACTCTATCCTAGACTGAGAATAGCCTCTTGCTTTTTCTTCTCTTCCCCTACCCCAGCACACGCTTCCTTCACACTCAGATACACATAGCTCCCAATCCTGGGGCCACGTCTCCAGATTTAGAGATACACACACATCATCCCCTCCCTGGGGCCATCTCTGACCCTCACCTCCCGGCTGGGCCTCCAACACCTCCCTCTCTCTCAGCCCTGATCAAACTAGGCTGGGCTGGTGTCTGTCTCCTCTACCAGGCTATGTCCTCCTCAGGGGCCTCCAGGGATGGCTGTGATATTGCAGAATAAATGAATGGATGACTCAATCAATTAATCAATCAATCCACAAAGAGGCACAAGAGAGAAAGAAGACAGATAAGAGTCAGGTGCAGTGGCACATGCCTGTAATCCCAGTGGCTCAGGAGGCTGAAGCAGGAGGATCGCGAGTTCAACTACCCTCATTTTTGGGTGGGGAGTACCAGGGATTGAACTTGGGGGTGCTCAACCACTGAGCCACATCTCCAGCCCTATTTTGTATTTATTTAGAGACAGGGTCTCACTGAGTTGCTTAGTGCCTCACTGTTGCTGAGGCTGGCTTTGAATTTACCATCCTCCTGTCTTAGCCTCTGGAGATGCTGGGATTACAGGTGTGCGCCACCCTGCTCAGCTGGATTGTGAATTCAATCAGACCCAGGGGTCCAGGCCCCAAACTAAAACACACACACACACACACACACACACACACACACACACAACCAGATGTGTGTGGACTGATGTAAATGTAGACACAGAGACAAACTCAGAGGGAAAGAGGGATACCTGATGGACTGTACATGACCACAGAGGGTGTGTAATGAGAGTTTATTAAATGCATGAAACAGGGCTTGCTTTGCCAGCACAAATCCTAGCATGGGTGAAGATGTAAGAAAGCAGACGTCGCTGTCCGGGGAAGTCTGGATAAGGAGCTGAGGGGTGGGCTGACAGTAAACTAAGTGAGCTTTCTGCCGGCTCTGATGCTGTCTTTTCTCCCAGGGACGATGCAGACAGAGCTAAGAGCAGTGGGTGGTTTGTGTCACTGTTCCTTCTGGTTCTGTCCCAACAAAGCTGTGATTGAGGCTTTCGATAATCCCCACTTGTACGAATCTGTGGCTCCTCCATCGCTGATTTTATCATGTTATTTTAGAGTTTGCTTCTGTGTGGGTGGACAACGTGTGAAGTTACTATTAATATTGTATTTTGTGGTGGTAGGGATGGAGCCTGGGGCCTCATGCACTCCATCCCTGAGCTCCACCCCCAGATCATGTGTGTAATTTTGCATAAACGACAAGTGAAGTAGCCAGGTGCGGCGGGACGCGCCTGGCCTGGAATCCCAGAAACTCAGGAGGCCGAGGCAGGAGGATCACAAATTCAATATCAGTCTGGGCAATTAGACTCTATCTCAAAATAAAAAAATTAAAAGGGCTGAGGATGTTGCTCAGTGGTGAAGTCCCCTTGGATTCAGTTCTTAATACCAAAAAGCAAAAAATGAAATTAAAAAAAATAAAAACACCAGTGAGAGGAATACACTGGCACTGGAGGACACACACACAGAAAATCAGGTGGACACTCTGACATTAAACAGGTGAGGGTGTCTACATGGATGCCCCAGTAGGCTGCTGGAGTTGGGGACAGAGACCTTGAGCTAGGTCTTCTGACCCATCTCACTTCCTGCTGCCTGGAGATGCTGCTGCCTGGGTCAGACACATCCACACATCCCAAGTGGGTCAGGTGGGCACTGGGCATGTGCAGAGTCCACGGATCATGGATCATGGGATATCAAGTCAACATGATGGCAGCAACCAAGACGGTCTGAGTCCTCTTGGTTTGACTAAATTTTAGACAGGTCTTCCTGACTCAGGGCCTCCAGTTGCGTAGAACACTGCTGTGTCTGAATGTGTCCCCGAGAAGTTCATGTGCTGGATGGAAACCTAACCCACAGAGTCATGTGTGAATGGAATTTGAAGGTGGGGTCTATCAGAGGTAATTGGGATAATATGAGGTCTTCAGGGTAGGGAACCCGTGACGGCATTAGTGACTTCATAATAAGAGACCTGAGCTAGTGCACCCGCTCTGTTTCACCATGTGATGCCCTTGGACCTTTATTTTATTCATTTATTTATGTGTGGTGCTGAGAATCGAACCCAATGCCTCACACATGCTAGGCAAGTGCTCTACCACTGAGCCACAAACTCAGCCCCCACCTCGGCCTCTTACGATGCAGCAAGAAGGCCCTCACCAGATGCCAATGCCTGTTCTTGGGACCTCCCAACCTCCAGAACCATGAGCTAAATAAAACTCTATTATGTATAAATTAGCTAGTATGTGGTGTTCAGTGATAGCAACAGAAAATGAATTAAGACAAGCACTTGCTTAAGAAAACTTGTCATTTCAATTTCTTTCTCTGCTCCCTTTGAAATGGAGGTGAATCTTTTCTGGCCCCTGGCTGACTTTTCAACCTAGAATTGTCTTCCTTAAGGACCTGGGAGCCAGGACTGTGAAATATAATCATCAAAGAAGACGGGGCTCCTATCTCCCAGTCTTGTGTGAAGTTAGGAGCCTAATTCTGATAAGGGACAATGAGCAAGCACAGTTGGCTCAATCAGAGAGATAAACTTTTGCAACCTCAGGAATAACTCTAAGTCCTGGACACATCCGTTGACCAGCTTCCTTCGGTCTCTCTCTGGTACTTTTCCACCAGCTCTTCCAACATTCAAAAGCCCTCCCACTTTTGTTTCCGTGGACTTGAGTTTATCTTCCCTCCTCTGTGGCAATCTTGAATAACATCTCCCTTGCCTGTTGAACTTCATCTGGTGCAATTTTTCTTTGACGGGAGACACCCAGCCACCTTGGACACTCACAAACATAGTTCCCCTGCCCTCATCTTGCCAAATCTCTGTCCCTCCCATCAGGCCTCACTTCCCAGAACCTGTTCAGCACCCAAATTACTCTTCCTGCTTCTCTGGTTCCTGCCCCAGGCTGTGTGTGTGTGTGTGGGGGGGGGAGTGTCCAGATGGGGGCAGGGTGGACCTTAGGGCCTCTGGGAAGTGGAGTCTTGCCTGGAAGGAATCTGGGTTCTCCGAAGCCCCTGTGGAAGGTGGAGGAGTTGGAGGTTGTCACAGGAGTTCACAGTTTTAGAGATTGGGGTTTATGGAGAAGGCAGACCAATGGTTGGGGTGGATTTTGACTCTGGTAACCTTTAAGAACTTCTAGAGTCTTTCAGGTTATCAGATAGGAAGTTCCCCAATACAGGAAGTAGTGATCACAGGAAATAGTGATTATAAAAACATAATCTCTGGGTTCACAGGGAGCTCAGTGTTCATTGAATAGCCCTCTGCAGACGCAAGATTCCCACCAAAAGCCCTAGCATTAAATGAAATGTATAGGGGGCCATTGGTTTAAACAGAAATCCTGCACTAAGCCAAAAAGACTCAAACCAAAATGGACCTAGTGACCACTACTAATGTCAAAAGACAAAAATTACAATAAATGTAGCTTAAAGATCTTAATGGACTTTATTTGTTCTCAAATCTGGCAAGATTTCATTCCTTAAAATGAGTATTCTAATGAGCTGAGCATAGGAGGTTGACTTTGTACACAGAAGCATTAACAGCAGATAAAAAGCAGATCAGTCATTTCAAAACAATTGTTCTTTTCTACAGGTTAAAGGAGCCTTGTTGGACTGGCTAAAATGGCTTGTTTGGTGAGTTGACTATTATCTTTGTTTCTCCCGATTTCTTGGACGGTGAGCTAATTTAATTTCACTTGGTAGCATAGGACTTTGGCATGAGTGACTCCATTTTGGTTTGGTCTTCTGGGCTTAGTGCAGGACCTCAATCCAAACTGATGGTCTCCTCCATGTTTTATTTAATGCTAGACACTTTGGTTGGGACTTTGGGTTTGCACACAGCTATACAATGAACCCTGGGCTCCCCATGAACCCAGAGATTCTTTATTATTTCATAATCACTTTTTAGTAATTAAACTTTAGTAATGAAGTCATTAATTACTTAAGAGCTTGGGGAAAACTTGAGGCCATTTTGTGGTAGCCATTAAGGCACTATTTTAAACATTTTTATTTTAGGAATTTTTAAACACAAGCCAATGTACAGAGAATGAAGTACACATCATGCAGGCTCCACAATTGTTGAAATGTCACTGATCTTGTTCTCCTTTCCCTGTTGGTGCTTGTCAGAGCATTAGGTGTATTAAAGTGGGGTCCTGTGTCATTTTGCTCAAAACATTAATTTTGCTTAAAACACCATTTAAATGTAGAATTTTCGGGGGCTGGGGCTGGGGCTCAGTGGCAGAGCACTTGCCTAGCATGTGTGAGGCACTGGGTTCGATCCTCGGCAGCACCACATTAAAAAAAAAAGTATTCTATATACTACAATAAAAAATATTTAAAAAGTAGAATTTTCTTTTTCAGTACAGGGGATTGACCCCAGAGGCTACTGAGTTACAACTCCAGCCCTTTTTATTTATTAAGACAGGGTTTTTTTTATTATTGAGACAGGGTTTCGCTAGTTTGCCCAGCCTAGTCTTGAACATGTGGTCCTCCTGCCTCAGCTGCCTGAGTAGCTGGGATTATAGGTGTGTGCCACTGCCCCAGGCTCTCGAAATAATTTTTAATTGATTGTGAACAGTCTTTGTGTCCCTAATAGTTGAGAAATATTCAGTATTTCTTGCCTTATTTGAAACTACTCCATTAATCAAGCATGTCATAATCACAATGATCGTTAAAATATTAAGCCCTAGTAATGTATAATCAGTTGCTTTCAGTCATTATGTTCTACATTAACTGTTCTCCGTATATTATCAGAATTGTGGAATTTCCTTCTGGAACTTTAGTCATTACCTTGCCAAAATCTGAATCATGTATATTGTGTGCCAATTTTTTCTTTTGTTTTCACAGATTGTACTGGCAGCATCAATATTTCT